TCGAGGACAACCCCTTACTACATCTTCCGCTTGGAGCTGAACAGACAAAAGCTGGGTATTAATATCTTGAAGAGGAAATTACGTAGGTGGTGTAACGAGATTGTCTCGTTACGGGTTGAAATTCCCGTAAAAAGAAATGTGAACTCTTAAAATTATTGAAGAGAGATAAGTAGTGACATCTGGAGGTGGCTGAAAGAGCCGCGACTGGATGAGCAGAGCCACAGACCGATGACAGGCTGAAGGCATAGCGGTTTTGGGTGAAACCGCGACCCCTGGAAGTCTAGAGGACGTTACTAGACTATCGCTATTTTAGAATTCGCCCAGCATGTACTAGGGGAAAAGGGGCCGATGTACACGCTGTCCAACTGGGCGATTCTGAAGGCTATGTCAGAGTAGACTAGGGACCAACGGCCAGGTGAGAGGACTGGTGTCCCCGGGATCTCGTCGGATTGATTGATGGGGATAGGGTAACGGAATGACCTATCGTCGCTGAGATATCCAGACTAAGGAGAGAAGGCCCTAGTAAGATTCTGAGTCAGTCAAACGCGGACGCTCAAGCGGGGAAGTCGAAGGGATTTCTCCGGCGTATACTGTGGTGTTGGCTTTGAAGATGGCCAAGGGAATGGTGGGCGAATAGCTCAGCGCAGCCAGGTGCGTAACTGATGGTAGCGAACGTAGGGGAATGTTCCTGCATTCCCCACAAACGGGAAAAAGAGTTATTTCGAAACTCTTGGTGACCACCTTGTGGTTTCCGGCGTTATCTGGCCTCGGCGGAACGATTTGAGGCGTATGGGCCCGTGGGCCTGGAGTAGAGCAATCCGCCTATCGGCCCGATCATACGTCGCCATTTCTAGTACTACCCGGAGGCAGTGATGCACGATGACCGAAGCGGTAACTGGTGGCCGAGAGTATGGGTGGTCGTGAAGTGGGTAACAGTCTTCCACTTTGGTCGAATCAGCCTCTCGGCGTCTCAGGCTCTGAGGAGTTCCGGCTGATTCGCATTTAACTCTGAAACACTTCCGAGTCGAAATACTTCCGAGTCGAAAAACCCTCCAGGACGAGTGTAAATTTAATTTGCATGGATGATTAGGCCGTGAGGCTTAATTTCCAGTCTGGAATAGTGGCTGATGACGTTACAGTTAACGTCTACAGTACACGTCTACTGCTACGCGTAACAGTTAAATAAATAGGTACATTTCTAGCGAAGTACCATCGCAAGACTAAAAGACATGGGTCGAACTGAGCATGTCGGCGACAAGCGCAAGGAGTGTCTCTAAATACATCAACAAAATGATCCGAGAATTGGAATAAAACCAACAAAAATCCGTGAGCTACTGAGAGTCCATTAATGCACTGGAATACCTAATTACTCGGTTCATAATCGCCCGAAGACCAAACGGTAAGGAGCTCGAAGTAATCAAGTCGGCGGTAAACGCAAGGATGGCTCTAATTACCGAGAATTTCACGGCTTTTATATCCTCAAAATGTCGACGCAGTACTAATGAAATATTCACTGAATTTCATGACATGACAATATCCCATAGACACGAGAGAGACAGACGAAAAAAATCCAACATCACGTGGTGAAGCGCAATTGCGCACAAGGCTATGAAAGCAATTATTTGGCGTTATTTAGGCTTTACCGCACAGAGCATAGTATCAAAAGAAAGCTAATTAATTCCCTAATCACCTAAAATGAGCAAATGATGCGAAGGAAAATCGAAAACATGCGAAATTCCGATACCAACAATATGTGTGAAACTCACCAGCGATAAACACGCAGTTCTTCCGACTCGGTACCACGGCAAAACTCCAAAAAATTCTCTTCAGTCGGTCCTCTCGACCCTCTAATCTTTTCCTGACTGATCCACAATCGCATATTCCTGCTAATTAGTTTCCTCTTCTCGTTTATCCAAAAAATACTGACTCTGGGTACAGCGCACGGTCAAAGTTACGCAATAGTAAATTCGGTAACCGGGGTCTCTATACGCGGGAATTCAATCCAAAGCGTTCGACGGAATTGATTAACAAAAATCATTCGACGGCTACCCAAGCGGTTCTGAGCTCGGAATAAATAATTTTGACTATAATTTCCTTCTCGAGGACGCATTCTCGGGATTATGGGGATAAAACGAAATAAGAGGCAACGAAGGTGCAGAAGCTGCACCTACGCGTTTTCCCGAAGATTGAAATGAAAGAGCAGAAATCCGATGAGATTATCGTGCAGCACGGCAATATTTCGGTCTATGAAGCGAATAATTCATCGGTTCTCTATGGTCAATTTATCGAAATCCGGCAATATATTTCCCGAGGCGTAAGATCGCATCAAGTAAAAGATAACGAAATACTGAAATTCTTCTAGGCGATGAACGCAAACTCAAAATCTAACGTCTCAACAAAAAAAATCCACGACTCGAAAAGAATTAATACATAATAAAAAGTGACTCGAATACTAAATTAAATTGTCTTGACTGGGTCATAGTCTCTGCATACTCACAAATTTTTATCCGCGTTTGAAGGTTCTCCGGTGAACTAAGGGATTTCCCCAGAATCCCTTACAACCTTCGCACACCAACATGCTACACCAATTTTAATAATTACTTCGCATCAATGCGCTATTGATCTCTTCAATTATGTTTCTAAAGCAATTTACCTGAAAACATGTTAGACTATATTTCTTTTTGAAAGATTTGTGTTGAACAAAAATGAGTGGAATAATTTGACTTCTAAAGAAATTCTATACTTTTAGTGTTTATAATTTTACTGCAAATGATTCTGTGTCTTTTCTCCTAGAGATAGTATTCTACTGTTTTTGTATATTTGTAACGAGCTGTTGGCTCCCCCCATTGTATAAGTACAATAGCACACATGCAATAAATGATTATTATATCGCTTTAACTATTCAAACTATGTCTAGTGCCAACTCTCAATAGCTCTATGTTCACAGGCACTACATTATTTAGCTTTCAAGAGCGATGCGAAAATTATTACAAACGACCCATGTACTCTTTAAAAACAATAAATTGAATTGAATTGAACATATAGAGATTTTGTCACTTATAACTTATTAGATGCTGAAAAGGAATGCAGTCAGCCGTTTATTTATTTATTTAAAACGTGAAAAAATTGTGTAACAAATGTTTCCTTTGAATTCAAATATTTTTGCCTGGAAAAATGATGGGGCTATATATGGTTGCGTATTTGTTCTTTCCTACCGCTCAACCACTTTCATGTTAAATCGTCGATTTCGATCCTGTTATGCTTTTATCTTTGTCTTTAATTCCCGAACGCGTCCTTTTACTTTTTGCTATCTTTTTATTTATTCTTTTCGCCCTAGTCTTTGAAATAAAGATTTATGTTTACAAAATGCCTCTTTACTTAACAATATGTTTCATCACGTGGGCGTAAAGTGCAATTTTTTTGACCATGATCCCTTTTTCTACACATTGGTGATGAAAAGTAGTGTTTGATACTCACCAAAAAAGTGTTCTTCGCCTCTTGGGGAGGTAGCCCTCATCATCGGCGAGTGCTACACACCGCCCACAGGTGAAAAAACACTTTTACCCTCTCATATCGAAATACATTATTTTATACAATAGTTCCATTTTCATGGAATTTTCTATCAATCTTCATTCAATTTTGAGTAAAATGAGTTCTGATACTTTCTAGTTATCAGAATGAATCTTTCAGAATTCATATTCTGTTCTTCAGCGGAAAAAAATGGAATTGATTGGGAAGTTACTGATTCAACCGACAATGATTCGCACCCGCTTAAACCCTTCCACAATGGGGATGAGCCAAGCGAGCGGTCAATATCACGATCGATTTTTTAAATATTATGTCCAATTCCAAAAATTGCGATATATTTCTTTCACAGGTGGATATGAACATATTATTACTATAGCGCTAAATGCTGGATGAAAATTCATTCCTCTTCCAGACGCCAATAAATGCTACAATACCCTCCCAAATTTGCATGAATCATTCGTTTAAATCATGCGTGTAACAAATTTAACCATTTCATTCTCATTTTAAGATTTCTTTCATGTTTTATCTGTCTTTTATCTCATTTTGACACGACTTTTCAAAAACTTTCTCTCAGAACGCTCTGTTATACCCCAGATTCATTCCATTGCATAATTATTAGTACGGACATTCAACATTGTTAGAGTTGCCAGACGCGATTACGGATGCTGTCCAAGCTATTAACATTTACACAATACAGCGCATCCGTAGCAGCTTCAAACGTAGAATAGAGTTTTGTGGTATAAGTGCTGGCGGACAATTGAAAGGGAGTCTATTATAATTTGCAGAATGTTCTTTGTACAATATAAAAACAAGATTTATTCGCGCTTTACCGTATTCAAGTAATTCGCAACTTACTTTTATCACTTGCAATGGGACACCCTTCAGCTCTCACGACGCTGGCAGCGCGAATTCTATAACCAATCCTGAATTCGCTACAAAATACACGTGTTATCGTCAAGACCTTTGGCGAGAGAAGACGGCGAATGCTATTCTCGCTGGACATTTGATTGACCCTCACTCTTCATTTTTATTCATGTCCTAATTGAATTTTTTTGTTAATATTTATTTTCCCTGATTAATCGTACATTTATATTTGTTCCAGATGAGTCAACGTCAGATTACTCTTTCGATGAAGAACTCAGATCTCATCTGTTTCAAACTCGCAAACGGAAAACATTATTACGCCCATTAAGTGAAAAACATGCTCCTTTGAGTAGAGTCAAGTTAAAGTCCAACGGTGCTCCATCAGTAGAGTGCATCACATTAGTTCACACTCAAAATCAATCTTCAATAGACTCCAACTAACAAGTTCGTCACTCCTCGCCATATTACTACGGTGATGTTTTCAAAGATTCTGAGCAGCTTCCAAGATCACAACTGACTGAGTGCAGAAAGAGCGTAAGCCATGACGTACCCGTAGACGAGTTATGAAGCGAGTGTTGAAGCTTCACTATTTGGGCCATGTAAACGCCATGATTTATCCAGTGAGTATGCACAACCAATTCACAGTGGCGAGATACACACCTCGTGTATTATCACTGAGTGGGACCACACTCTCATGCCCTCGCATCGGTTACTGAGCCAAGATTTATCCACATTCGTGTGTATGTGTCCTGCATCTCGGAGGGATTACGTGTACCGAGTGACGCTGAAAGAAATTCGGTGAGTAAATCAAGTAGGGCCCAAAGGATTGGACCCCAACTGCCGGTGCTACTAAAGTACGACCCTGACGTTGAGCGAGGCGGTGATGAGGCGGATGGTGAAGAAGAGGAGGCTGATGAAGTCGAAGATATTGACGACCTGGAAATGGCAAGGCAGCGTCGTGTATATGAGACGGCATTCGACTGTAAAGTTACTCGATCCGATGACGATTTGGATGAGATTGATCGGGTTACAAATCATCCGGTACTGCATTTAAAGTTGAGGGGCACGAGTCCATCATGTTCAAGCCCTGATACCACTGCTTCGAAATACACAGGCTCGCAGTGGGGTAAACAGCAGACTCATGAAGGTCATAAACAAAAAATGATGATGTTACAACCTAAACCTGTATCAAATCGACAGCAGCCGCATTTGGACAATATATATAGTCTCGCTCAGGGCATTCAAACACTTAAGGTAAATTCCAGTGATGAACAGAAGTTCACGGGTAGAATAACCACTTGTCGATGTACCTCGTCTCTATCATCGACAGCTCCCCTATCCGCCAAGTTTCATGGAAACCAAGATGACATTCTTCTAAATATTCACAGTGCTCCAAATTTACCCTTACAAACAGATCGTCCAAGACTGAGAGGCGTGAGACCACCAATCGAATCATTGAGAATCAAGGATTCACCAAAAAGTAGTACTGATGTATTCGATATTAAAAGTCGAACAGAAAGTTTCGTTAAAGAGAACAATGATTATCGATTACGCAAAGGAAACCAAGAACTCATTCTTGAGTTCAAGGGTAGGCCCAGAGGAGACAAATACCGACCAAGATGTTTGGTACGAGTTAGAGAACCAGTTGGTGAATTTAAAGAAAGTCCCCATGAAGCGGAGGGAGATCTTCTGAAGGAGAGAACAGATCCAGGACTCGTTGAGTTTAAGCTACGTCCAACAAGATGTCGAGTTGGCTATTCCAGTACAGAGAGCATGGCGACAAGCAGCAGTGCTGGAAGCATGGAATCCCTCCGAAGCACCACTAGTGAAAGCAACAGGTCGACGAGTAGCTCTGATAGCCGCCGCAGTACTAGTTTGAGCTCTCACAGTTCAGACAGCGGCACCACGCACTGCTTTCTCCACCATCATCATCAACCAAAAACTTTATCTGGTTATCTCACGTTCCACGCAAGTCACCTGCACATCCTTTCGCCCATCTCCGACAAATCCTCCCAAGAACCTGCATCTGAAACTTCTGATAATAATCGGAATAATAATTCTCAGAAAGCTTCCCCCGAAGCTACTGGACTTGTCATGCTAAATACTACTACAAATCCAATCACTTCGACTGTGGTGGTGCCGACAGATCCGTCTTTCAAGAACCGGCGTACGCCACAGAATAAGAATGTGATTAACTTAGCACTCAAATTTTCATCATTGGGAGATGCAGAAATTCAAGGTTCAGACAGTGGGATTTCGATTGAGTCTCGAGCAGAAATTAAGTGCAAACCGTTTGCTTTCCAACTTCGGAAAACTGAGATTAATAACATCAACTTAGTTAGCGAAGACCCTGACCTACCGGAATTGCCGTTTGACATGCCAAAATTAAGGAGGAGACGTCTCCTCATGCAACAGGATGCAACAACCTCGGGTAGTGCCACCAGTGTTGATCTCAGAGATCTTCCTTTCGATATGCCAAAATTGAAGAGACGGTTACGATGCACTCAGGCTATGGAATCTAGTGTTTCGAGAGCCTCCTCCAGCATTTCAAGTAGAGACGTGGAAGCTCCACCATTTTTTGGTAAGTAAACTTCTCAAGATTCACATAATAATGAAAACCACTAGGAGTTATAGACTATGAAGTGACGCGCCTCCATTTTGTTGAATCAATATATTTTGTTGTTATAAATGCACTCCAAAAATATTTCAACACTATTTTAGCTCCGTATGCTGGACCGAAACGGCATGAATTTCAAGAGAATGCCATAATTTGGGTGTATTTTTAGGAACCTCATCCGGGGTAGGAAGAGCCTGTGATTCACTGGGGGTTTACGATCCTCATAGACACAGCATAACGTCTTCAGACTCATGTGGCGGATACTTGATTATTTTATTCATTTTATTTTTTTATTTATGCCACAACAATACATAAAAAGTGTAAATAATGTTCTGAAAAATCGAGGGGAAACAGTGGCAATAGTTGGTAGACGATGACGCTAAGCAAAGAGTGGAACGAACATGTGGGGATGTTCATTAGGACACGATAATGCCATCAGAACAACTAACCCTCATGACATAGGAAGGTGATTCGTGAGTAAAAAGGGTAGAGAGAGAGAGAGTTTTATTTAGGGTTCCACGAAAAAGTGGGAAAATGTTAGATTGTCCCCGCGATAATTAAATTCGCATCCGTTTACTGTACTAATTATCGAGATTTGATTAGTTACGCGTTTTTGAGGGTCCATGGAATTATCGCGAAGGAGCGCCAAGTTATGAGTCATCCGGTAATATTTATGGGTCAACCCTATTATTAATCCCGCGGTTGCAATACCGGCGCTCCAAAATTTTGTTGGATTTTACGGGGTTAACTGGTTACCTTTTGTGTTTTTGGTGGAAGGTCGTTTGGAGCAAGTGCAACCCTTGTCTCCAACGAATTGCCAGGTTGCTTTAGAGTTTAGTTCAGAAGAGTAATTTGATAATTCGAAATAATAAGTAATTTGATTTTATTTATCATTTAACCCCGTGAATCCCGGAGAACAGATCCGTGGGAGGCGCCAAAAACCCCCAGTAATTATCCGAACGTTCATCTGTTCGGCTCAGTCCGATCAAATAATTAGTTAATTTAATGGTTTCGCTTACTTAAAATGTTCGGATTAATTTGAAAATGTTATCGGCACTTATGCCTTTGCATTTCCCGACAAAATTCGGGGTCTTTCGGGAGATCCTCGCGAAAGTAAGCGTGTCCGCACCAATCAAAAGGATTTTGATTGAGCAGTGATTTCTCACTTCTGAAGCGTCGCGAGACGTTCAGAAGTTGAGTTTAGTTGCCTTCTGACCCCTGCGGAATAGCGAGTGCAGGTAGTACGGGTTTATTAGTGATAGTGTCCATTTGGGATTATACCGGTCCAAGATGGGAAAGAGGGAGAAAAGGAGTAAGCAGATCCCAAAAGTGAGTTTGTTGGTTAATTAATTCGTTCTGAATTATAGTTCAGAGTGGTAATTTCCATCTCATGGTGGTTTTCGCACGCGTGGCCGTCAGGCACGTAGCGCGTTTTTCTATCTCTTTTGAGGGTAAACCTGTATTTAATTTCCCGTTATTAATTAGTTAAAGGGGTCGATCAGGTCGGGATTAATTTCTTTTTCTTATTATGGTTCGTATTTTCCCGATAATTCGCGCGTTCCGTTCCATCAAACATGATGGTTGATTCCCGTCAGAGGGTCATTTCCGGTATAAATCCCAGCTTCGGTTATTCAATAATCAGTTCATAAAATAGGGCATTTCATTTTAGGACTATTAGAACTTGTGAGTTTTTCCGAAAACTCCTCCAGAAAAGGGGAAAATTAGTTTTTAGCTCCACTCGCAGTGGTTTCTGTATTCGCGTCTCTCTCGCCCTCGTGGCGAGCTATTTTATCTCTCTCTCAGTGGGGAATTCCTCGCTGAGAATTTCAGCCGTTCAAATGGGACGTATCCCCCTTTCGGCACTCCTCTAAAACCCTCCGCACCGACAAACTGCGGCTATCGCTGTACGCGAACATTTCCTCCCATTTAAAATCCACCATGGTTATTTATGAACCTGGCGTGGTCAATTGGTTAGGGAAAATTACAAATTTAGGTTTACCGTGTTCGCTAGAAATTCCCGATTATTTGGGCTTTGGGTTTCCGAAATTTCACTTTGCCGTTTTGGAGAAATCGTCAGTTAAATTTTACGGAATTTTTGCTATACCGCTTTCCCGCATGCGTTATACGTATAACGATGAGTTTCAGTGTTTCTCTCTCTCTCTCTCTCTCTCTCTCTCTCTCTCTCTCTCTCTCTCTCTCTCTCTCACGGGTATTCACATATCTTTCCCCCCAGTTCTCGGAATTCTCGAGCATTTCGGGATTAAAGAATATTATCGTATTTTCGCGATTGTCTTCGTGTTTTCACTAACACCTGAGGAATTGGATCACTTTAGCCTCGTGATTAATCGAAGCGATCGTAATTGTATTATTTTGTTAGTAATACGAGTGGGAATCGAACCCGGGTCTCCCAGATCCGCGCCGGGCACTCTTACCGACTAAGCTACCGGAAACCACAGAAATTCACTCTCAAATTCACCTCATACACCGCCGAACCTCCTTTGGGCATTAAAGAATTCTAAGAAAAAATGAAAATGCGCGTAACCCGGAATAAAAACCAGCTTCAGATCGGATTTATTAGTTTCTCTTTGGTTCTGTTAGAAGAGCGATGATTGCTATTGATAATTTTCGATTGTTTTGGAAATTGTGTAAAAGTATGTAAATTATTTATTTTTGAAAATTTCAATAGTGGAACGAGTAAGGACAATATCGATCTCTTGTTTTTGTAGTTATGACCGCCCAATAACACGTTTCCACCTGAAATCCACCTCTCTCTCCACAACCTAGCACACTGCGCGATCCGAGGACCGTTACCTTTCCCCGAAAATCTAGTTCTTTTCATTTTTGGTTTGTCGGTTAGGAATTTTCTTAGTGTTTGGAATCGAAATTCGTGCACATCCGGTTTGATACTGCCGGCTAAAAATTATCTGGCGCCCATTATTCGTTTTATTTTGACTTAACTAGATCCAGGGAAAGAAGGGCTAAGGTAATCGGCATTTTTAGTCCCCAAATCAAAAGTCACGTTACAAGAGTAACAATATAAAAGTTTTAAGCATTGAGAAAATTCAAACGCGAGTTATAAAGCAAGAACAGTAGTTGAGCAGATGTTAACAAGTTGTATATTGCACCAAATGACAAAGGTGTTATCATGCAAGGTTAAGACTAAGGGATTATTGACTCCCAAGGATCATGCAGTATCATGAAGTCAAGAACCAACAATTTTGTAACGCAAATTAGTAAGATTCCTCAGGAAGACAAATAAGACATCAGCTTCTCGAGGCGTTTCTATAGATAAGATCTCTAGAACAGAGGATCCTAGACCGCTGAATCTGTCCCTGACCATGTCCGAGGCAGGGCATGAGATGAGCAGATGCTGAAGATCGTCAGGGCAATCCCAGTTGCACACGGGGCAGTAATTTTCTGGATTGAGTTTTATCCTCATATTCTACCAGTAAAGACAAACCCCTCTTTTGGTGGCAACCTTTGCTTGGCTTATTAGCGCCAGCTTGTTGAAGTTCAGGTTGAAATGGGGATAGTTGCCTTCGGTCTGAACAAGGTGGCGGTACAGAGGGCAGGATGAGGAAGCTCGAGCCTGCAACAAAACTGAGTCACGCAGTCTTGAGACCTTGCCCTCACTAATGCCGGTCGTGTAGGCACTAATAATCGCTGGGTCTTGTTTATCAAACAAAGCAGCAAAACCCAGGGATCACAGCTTACGCCGCAGGGAGTTCATCCAATTAGAGGTTGATGTTGGATTACCCTTGGACAGGTTTAAAGACGATTGTAGCACTTGCGTGGTTGTCTGGTTCCATTCAAGTGCAGTAGTTTGACTAGCCAACCCAGTTTTTTCTTCAGAATGGTGGCATCAAGACTTGGAATATTCGACTCCAGCCTCACTACATAGTGCGGGGTGGAGCGAGCCCAGCCGAAAAGTTGTTTGAAGTACCTGGATTGAGCAGACTGCAGAATATGCAAGTGTCAATCGGCCCACAATTCCACTTTATAGATTAGAGTGGCGCTGACATTTGAGTCAAAGGGCTTCTCTGCGGGCATGGACGATCGGGGTTAAGTCCTTCTCAGTTTGTTTAGGGTTGAGCCAATAGTTTGGTTGGTTTTGGTTACTCTGTCAATAACAAGCAGCCTTGTTAAAATTCCCTGACTTGGAGAACACAATCCTGAGATAAGTGTGTCTTTGTAACCTCAATTATGTTGTTATCGTATCTAAAAGTGGGCATACTGATGATCTTAGGGCTCTTGTGAAAGATGACTATTTGAGTGTTCCTGGCGTTGACAGAATGGCCAAGGGATGTGTAGAATGAGTGCAGAGCATGGAGCGTCCGTCGGGTGGCCTGAACGGTATCAGCAAGAAGGACAAAGTCATCTGCGAAGACCATAGACAGAAGTTCGAGCGAGCCACCCAAGCTTACACCCGATAACCCGGCATCGCGCAGATGCTTTTCCAGATGGCTAATGAATAGTATGAAGAGCAGTGCGCTCAATGATTCTCCTTGCGTTGTGCCTTTCGATATTTTCATTTTATTGGAGCTCTGGCCATTGATGACGTAGAACATGTTAAGTTTCTCGTATAAATAATTGATTGAGTTCAGAGACCACGAACCCAAACCCAGATCCCCGAGTTTCTTCCAGAATAGATGGTGCTGAACAGAATCGAACGCCTGCTTGAAATCGGATACTTGATTATTAAATAGCATGAAATATTATAATAGGAATAAAATAATTCATCAAGTCGAATTGCCCATAACTATGCACAACAGAACGTGCCCGGGGAAGGAAAAAAATGAAAATATTCACAGTTTAATCATTTGAGATCTGATTGCGTGGAATTAAACACTGAAGTGGACAATGGTTATCATACAGAGGAGTTACTAATGGAAACGTATCAAGAAAGAAACTCACAAATTCCGTTTACTGAGTTTATTATAGCGCACACTGTTAGATACATTGAATC